AAAAAAAAAAGTGTGAACATCGAACTTATAAATCATAAATCATGAAACATTTATTTACATAAAAAAAATTAAAAACCATAACAAATTTCTAAAAAAAATCTATTAAAAAACGCTCCCACTTTAAGCTCTGTAGTTATCTCGTGCCTTTTGAACACATTTGCATATAACCCGTAGTTTGCATACTCAGCCTTTTGACTCGATAACCCTTTGAATCTAAACCACATTCCCAGGTTAAATACACAAAATACCCAGCTAAGGGTTAAGGGGTGTAATCAGGCCTTTCTTATTAGCAGCATAATTATTAAACATTTCATAACCATTATTGCCACAAAATCAAGTCACTAATTTCAAATTCTTTTACATATCACAAAAACTACAAAAGAATATAATTATTCATGAAGAACAGCATAAAAATTAATGCTTTCATAACCATTATTGCCACCGTAGTTTGATTTCCTGCCCGACCTCGAGTCGCTTGGTGCGAACGACTTTGCCCCACTTGCCGATGAGGTTGTAGTAGCTCCCGCGCCATTTGAGCTTCATGGAGGAGATTTCGTTTGTGTCATCGTCATGGGCATCGAAGCTGACCTGGCCCTCGGCTCTTAGGTGGTCCTGCTGCTGAGGTGTCATGTGGACCACGATATTGGCCTCAACTTGCTGTCTGGACAATGTGAGGAATGGGTGGGTGATATCGATGTCGGAGAATGTGAGGGCTTTCTTGATGGGCTATTGCTCGTGCAACAGTTGAGGCACGGCGTTGTAATACGCCATACCCTTTTCATTAACTAAACACTGGAAAAAAGGGAAAAGCAATATTACCGATAGTTAAGAAATCTTCCATTACTAAAAGAAGTAACTCTAACCACTTCCATTACTTTGAAAATCTTCCTAATTTCAGCACACAGGGGTCCAATCCAACTGAAACAAAGAGATGAAGGGGCATCAATCCTCCCAACTTTAGCGCAATAAATGAAGAAAATTTACAAACCCACAATTTTCAATAGCTTGAAAGGTGAAGAATTATACCAAACCACAAGCAACAAAAGCCAAACAAGTAATCACCACACGGGGGAGTTAAAACGATGAATCAAGGCAAACTGTACACATATCAAATTCCATGATCAGACGACAGCTTACCGTCCAAAATTTGACCTTTCACCTTATTCCTAGATCAAAAGTCGCAAAAAAAAAAAAAAAACTCTTTGTGGACAGAGAGCTAAAATTTTCCACCTAGTACTTGATGGGAATCGAAACCGCATAAACCCCATGAGGAGATGATAAAAAGAAATTATAGAACGCAAAATGTTGGCAATAAGAGGGGGGAAAACATGAGGTATGTGGTGTAAATCGACGAATCGGAGAGGGTTTAAAAGGTCAATCGAAGATGGGAATGCGTTCACGACGATATGAAGGAGTAAGTAATAGTGAAGGAAACACACATTTTACGTGAACACATGGAGATGGCGGCGGCGTCCTTGGTGGTGGTGATGGTGGTGGCGGCGGCAGGTGGGCGAATAGGTGTGGAGGGGTGATTTCTTGCGTGAATAAAGCTCCACAAGAGTGTGTGGTGTGAACTTGGGGCTGTAAAATTACCTTTCTGCACCTCGTTCAGATTAAATATGTCCTGACCATTCCGTCGGGGTTTGCATCTTTAGATCAACTATCCCCGACGGTTACATGATGATCTAACAGTAACAAACTCCGACAAAATTGTTTTGTAACGGGACTGTAACACCTCGCCTAAACTTACTAAAATAACACCCCGCCTAAACTTACTAAAATCAGAGTAAATTTTCGCGCTATAAAAGAAAAGCTCTGATTAAATTTTCGAAAACTCATATTACTTTTTTCGAAAATACTTAAACTTTATTATGCGGGATGCTACTCAACTTTAATCTTAAATCTTTAATATCTTTAAACTGCTAGGCATGCAACCGAGTATAATTCATTACTCTAATAAGGCGCCATGAACATCTCAGAATTTAAGCATGCATAAACTGAAAATTTGAAATACTGAAATACTAGTCTAAAATCTTGAAATACCAAATACTAATCTGAAATACTGAAATACTAGTCTAAAATTCTGACATACTGAAATTCTAGTCTGGAATTCTGAAATACTGAAATACTAATATGAAATTCTGAACTACTAGTCTGAAAATCTATCTCTGAAATTTTATCTGAAATATATATCTGAAATTTCTCGAACCATCTAGACTGCTCGGATTGATTCGGCTGAACTGAAATTCTCTGCGAACCATCCGGCATGCCCGAACTGGTTCGACTGAACTGGACCGACGACTCACTCGGAGTCAATCGATCATTCGCTTGACTATGTGCAGCTCGATTTGACGTGGTCTGGGTTCGGCGTGGCAACTCGGGCCTGCACGAACTCGACTAACATGGCTCAGCCAATGCACGAGTTTGAAACGGTACCACGGTCACTGACGCAAGGGCGTGCTTAGACCATGGCTAAGGGATACGACATGTAGACGGTAGACGGATGGACTCAGTGCACGGGCACGCACTCGGTGGTTTGACTCGGACTTGGTGCACGGGCACGCACTCTGCGGTTCAGCTCCAACGCTCGGACGAGAGTCGATCATGTGCGCGAGACGACAATACGTGTTAAGAATTAATGTCACGACATCTAAAAATTATCTAAACAGTACTAGAGTTCGGTCGGTTATGCTCGGATAAAAAAATATCAGGTTATTGGAACCGGATAAAACTAGCGTCCTCGATTCTCGAAAACCTAACTCATTTAAGGCCAATAATAAAATCACTAGTTTCTATGTAATTATATTGATTTTATAATCAACAACTGCAGCTAAAATCGCAACCGAACTAATATTCTATATTTATCGCATTAATGGCTAAAGTCTCGATTTTTTTATCTAAGTCAAACGACATCTAAAATTCCTGAAATTTGAAACGTAACATCCTCAACATAAACGTAATCTACGGTCAAAATAACAAGTTTAAAGTCAACCCCTAGACTAGTCAACTCAAAATCGCTACGACCGGTCAACACATTTGACTGGCTCGTTTGCCCGTCAAACGAAGTGCGAAAATTCTCAAATTCGCACCTACGCCTCAAGACAACGCAACAAATTTAATGATATTTATTTTGTCATTTTATCATATTCATTTAAAAAGTCCCGATTAATCACTTCAAACCCGAAAATCCCTCTTTTTTTTTCTTTCAAAATCGCTCAAATCACCAAATCATACACGTTATATCATTCAAATATCATTTCTAAGCCATCATAGTCGAGTTTAGACTATTTTACCTTAAAACGACACAAATCGGATAAAACGAGAGGTAGATCGAACGAGAAAATGGTCAACGAAGCAAATCGGACCGGGGCTACGTGTGTGGGTCGCGAATCCAGGGCTGAGGAACTGCTAGGACCGGACGGAGGTGTTTAGTCGCACGTGGACTGCAGCTGGTCGGGTCGCCGAGCTACAGTGACGCGGAGGAGCTGTTTTTCCGGCGAGTTCTCGCCGGAATCGGGCCTGAGACGCTCTGGTGCGAGAGGGAGTGGAGCTGGCTCGTGGTGGCTCGCAATTTGGGACGGCGTCGCTGGGCTGAGGTCGGGCTTGCGGCGGACTAGTTCGCCGGTGGCTATCCGCCGTGAAGGAGCTGAAAGCTTACGGAAACGACGGCGCGTGGCTGGGACGTGCGGGAGGCTAGAACCGGAGCTGGTGGTTTGATGGCGGCGCGAGCTCGGGGCTAAGGAGCCGCGTGACTCACGAAACCGAGCTGAGAACGGTTCGCCGGCGCGGCTAAGGGCTGGTCGGAACTCGTGCAGGAGCTGCACGGCTGAGAGGACGCTTGGACCGAGCTGCTGCGCGTGTGATGGCGGCGTGACTGGAACCATCGAGATAACGAGCTGCGTGGATGTGGGCTCGGTGTGGTGCAGCGAACGGCGTGGAATGGTTGTGCTCGCCGGCGTGGAGGTTCGCCGGAGCTGGGTACGGCGGCGGCTCGCCGGAGCTGGGGTGGCCGGATTTTGTGTGGTAGATTGTGGAGTGGTGTGGCTAGGGTTTTTTTATGTTGTGTTGGGAGGGGAGAAGAGGATTGTGTGGTATTTATAGTAAGTAGAAAAATTAGAGTTTGTGTTGTTATGGGCTTAGAAATTGGGCTATAAAATCTTGAAATTGGGATAGTAATTAAATTCGACATAAGCTCGATTAAATTGGATATCGACTAAGGAATTAAATACTCGGCTAGGAAAATTAATCGAAATTTGACTAATTAAATTAGTCGGTCAAATTTACTAAAATAATTAGGCTCCACTTTAAAAATCGACTATAGCTCGATTTTTTTAAAATAGACTAAAATAAAATCGAACTTGGGCTCGATTTACTAAGATGAAATTGGCCTAAATAAAATCGAACATATGCTCGATTAACTTAAATGGGTCAGTTAGAATAATTTGGAATCGCTCAAAATTGATTAGGCTCAAATAATTAAATTATTCGGCTTCGATCCGCTTAAATAAAATATCAATTAAACCAAGGCTCGGTTTTAAAAATATAATCGATACTTGGGCTAAATAAATTCAACTTTAATAATTAAAATCGAATAAAATCTCCATGGCTTACACTTTAATACTAATTATTCAATTTAATACACTTAATAATAATAAATGCATCAAATAAGGAAGCTGACTATTTATAAAAATAAAGTCGAGCTCCATAAATAGTAACTAATATTCTGTGCGTTACAGGGAACGTAGCATTTCTCTAAACTTTATTCAGTAAAAAAAAGTTGTCTTTCTTTGTTGAAGTTGAACCAAAATTTATTTTGTATTGAGTTTAAATGAAATATATATTTGTTATTAAAATACTATTATTTTTTCCACTATAAATCTAACCCGAAGAATCAATAATCAAAAAGGTTATTACTATGTGTTTTTCAATACAAAAATATTATTCACTCACTCATATTTGTAACTATCTATCTTATTAATCAATATCTATTATTTTTATATTACATCAAATTTTAATCATTACATTTGATTTCACATTCATTTATAATATCAAATTTATCACACTATTTTTACAATTTTTTTTTTCATATATTCATATCCATTTATAATTTCAAATTTATCTTTTCTTTTTTCTTGAAGTAAAATTTTCCAATTTTCGTCTCACTTTTGTAGAGGACACATTTTTTACCAGAACAATTTATTATGTTTCTATATATATATATATCATCATTGCCAAGGCAATATCATTTAACAGAGTTTTTCTTCTAATAAAAAAATATTCTTTTAATAATCTCCATGCCAAATTAGTTTTAACAGTTCAACAACGCAATTTTTTCCTCAAAAAGAAAAAATGAAGTAAAAAATCTGGCTTAGAGAGTTACACAAGTCACCCACCCAAAGGGATCCGAACCTCGGACCTCTACCTAACGGGAGAGGCGTCAAGATCCGTGAAGAGGTATTGGCTTCACGGCACTCGTAATCCTCCTAAACGCCGTCCGGACCCGTTCCTTAAGCCCCTCATTCTCACTCTCGACTTCCCCGCTTCCCTTATCGAGACGCGCCACGTTCCCATCCACATTTATCAACAGCTTCCCCTCCTCCTCGTACTTCACATCCCCAAACAAGGACACGAGGAGCGCATGAACAATCTTGTCCGCCTTCTTGGCCGCCTCCTCTTCTCCCCTCTCGGACTCGTCCACCACCTTGGGCAGCTCCCGACCCGCGTTCAGCACGAGTGCCACCACCGAATCCGACACCATGTCGCTGATGGGATCGGCCGCCCACTGCAGGGAGATGTGGCCCTCCGACTCCCGCCTCACAGTCACCCGCCCGTGTACCCTCAGCCCTTCGACCCCCTCGTCACTCACCTCCGGCTCCACCCCTTCGTAAATCTGCCGCAGCCGGTGCTCGATCACCGAGAACGCCCCTGAATACGGGATCGTGATCCTCTGCACGACGCTCCCCGTTGAGAGCCGTGAAAACACGTGCAGGTCCTCGGGCGCCATGATTTGGTACGTAAAACCCTTCTTCACGAGAAGGCCGCTCACAGCCTCCCCCGGGGCCGGCGCGCCCTGGCCCGCCATCCTCCCGATGGCTTTCGCCATCTTCTGGGAGTTGAACCGCATCTCGACCGACTGGCAGTTCTTCGGGGTTATGATCCGGGTGTTTCCATCGGCAAAGACTGCCGACGCGAGCTTCTGCTTGAGGCGGCCCATCTCGTTGGCCTCCCCATGGACAAGGATGATGTTAGGCGGGGCAAGCTCTTTGAGGAAAGTGCTCGTCTGGGAGTAGTCGGCGTGTGCGGAGAAGGAAATGTAGTGAACCCGCATGTGGAGAGGTGCCGTGAGGCCGCTGGCGAGGGTCACCTCCTTGGGCTCGCTGATAATGGCCTTGGCAGGGGTGCCCTCGACGACGTAGCCTGGGATGACGCACGCGTTGCGGCGGTCGGAGCACCAGCGGTCGAAGAGCTGTCGGGAGAGGCCGCTCTGGAGGCCACCGGGGGAGGCCATGACTACGGCGGGGCCCACGTCGCGGAACTCGTCGAGGGACTTGAGAGGGGAGATGTGTCGGAAGTCGAATGGGTTGGAGGAGGCAAACTGGGATCGGATGCGGTCGTTCATGGAGTTGATGTAGGTCTGGTAGACGGACATGCAGCGCTTGGCGAGTGGGGAGGCATAGTAGATGGGGACGTTGTGGAGGTCCGGGTGGGCGGACCAGTACTCGTCCAGGATGAGGAGGAGCTCCTGGGCACGACCGAGGGCGAAGGCAGGGATGAGGACGCGGCCGCCGCCAGCCACTGTGGAATGGACGACGTCCGTGAAGAGCTTCTCGCGCACGTGGCGGGGCTGGTGGTTCTGGACGCCGTATGTGGACTCGATGATGCAGATGTCGGGGGAAAAGGGGGGAAGCTCGGCCGCGCGTAGGTGGCGGTCCTCCTCGCGCGAGTAATCCCCCGTGTAGAGGACACGGACGCCTGCAATGTCCACCATGAACATGGCTGCGCCCAGGACATGGCCAGCCGTGTAGCACCAGAAACGCACCCCATCCACGTCTACGGTTTGGTGGAAGTCAATCACCTGGGGAACAATGGGAAAAGGGATTTCATATAGTTCTTTCTTAGCACCTAAAAGCATAAAGGACTAGATCACGCTGATTGCGGCAAAGTTTAAATGAAGAAGTAGGTACAGAACCACACAATACCCGGTTAATGAAACCAATTAAGGAAATGAGCATGAAATTCCTACCTGGGAATCTCCATCATATGAAACCATTCATATTTTACTTCATGCCACAGATTTTATATAGTTTGGGCCATCAACAATATAAATGTAACAAAATTGAAGAATGCAATTCTCTGCAACAGATTCATTATTTTTGTTCACCCAAATTCAGCTCTTTGCAGCCAAAGAATGGAACAATAGCAGTAAGAAGCAAGAGAGTAAGAAGCAAGAGACAACGAGGGATCATTAACAAAATGCAAATTCTACCACTTACCTGCTCATAAAATGCAAAAACAATCCCATACTCATAGGCATTGCACAATCGCAGCTCAGGCATAATATCCACGTGCTCTATGCTAGATTTAATTAAACACATCTATATAATGGTGAGGTCAAGAACAAATCATTATAATTACATGTATTAAGATTCATTTCTCATGGGCTAGACAATCCCCCCTTTTTTTTTCTTAAGCGTGAAATAGAATAGGTAAGGGCAGAGAATCAGCTAACATATAATCAGAAATGAAGGGCCAAAATAAGCAAAAGAATCAAAATAATCAGAGTTATTTCTTGGAGACCTAAGCCGGACTTCCATACCAGTGGATTCACAAATTAACTGAAAACAATTCAGAACTTAAATTTACATACCAAATACAGAGAACTATCAAAATTTTGAAATTAACGAAATAATACCTCAATTCTTTCCATGGAGCGAAGTATGTCTTGTTCATCATATAGCATATCCTCAACTGAGACCTTGCTAACTTTGACATAATCCGATAGAAGCAACTTGTAAATGGCTTTAGTTGCATGAGTCATAAAAACTCGTCCCCTGAATGTCGTCTGGAACACATAAAGGAGAATATTAGCCTATCAATGCAGAGGACCTGCAAATTATACCATATTATAATGTCATGTCAAATTGCAACCTTCTCCAGAAAATATGGAAGAGAAGCAGCATGGTCCAAGTGAAAGCTGCACAGGTAAAAAAGCACACTTGAGTAATTTGAAACAAAAAATAGAAACCAAAATAATAAAAAATACTACCAGATTCCCAGAATCAAAGACTACTTAATAATTATCAAGGGGATCCAAATGCTTGACTTCTGTAGGCAAACCAAAAAAAAAAATGTTCCTTTTCCTTCCTCACCCCAAAGGGAATTGTGTACGAGTGTCTGCATATTCCAGAACATCTCAAATAATTTTTCCTTGGAGGTTATTATAAAATCACCTCAATGAAGTAGCTCACTTTACAAAATACGCCGCCGACTAATCCACAAACTGAACTGGTTTAACCTAATCCACAAACTGAACTGGTTTAACCCTCCACGCCCTTTTTAGAATCGATTAGTACATTGACCTAAACAGCCAAAGCTACATGAACTTATCCAAGAAATCAGGGTCCAGCACCAAAGCAAACAACCAATCCGTCTTTACACGAAAACTTCCAGGAAACACATAAAAGAAACAACACAATCCCCAATTTCCAACAAGAACAATAGGCAAATATGACAC